TCACAGCAGGGCCTGAAAGACGCACCCGAAACAAAGAAAAGCAACTGACAGGGGAAAACCATGAAAACGACTATGCACAAAGTGATGTCAAATGCACAAAATAAACAAACTAAAAAAAAATGGACAAAAATCTGTTTTCTTGCCCATTTCAATTATAATAATCATAGCTGCTTCTTGTAACAATTGTAGGAAATAATTTCAGACACTAGAGCTGTGGTTTTCAAACTGGGGTTCGCATACTCCTAGGGGCCCGCCAACTCTCATCAGGAGGCATGCAAAAAAACCCCTGTAATGGCAGACAACACATTTTATTTAGTAAGACTTAGTCATAAAATACTTATGATTAGATTGCCATCTCAGATGGGTTTAGATTACATTATTTGGAGAGGGATATGCACTCTAAAAAGCTTGAAAACCACTGCACTAGAGTGATATTTGGAGTTGAAAGTGTCCCTTCAAAGTTGTGACAATTTTTATTTCACAGCCTGACTGTTTTTTCACCAGCTTTTATAAAACGGGCTACTTTAAATCTGAAATGCTCTTTGTTTAACCTTAAACTAGAATAGGTTTGGTTTTGTATCTGAATAATTAGATGGGCCATTTTTGGGGTAGAAGATTTTAAATTATATCGATAGTTTGGAAATTATTCTAACTCATAAGTCAAATAGATTTTGGCCTACAGATTTCAAATCTGCTTTACAGCCCAACAAAAAACAACAGATAGGATTCGTTCAGCCCCCTTGGAGACCCTAATTTTTGTTTATTTCTCAGGGTACATTATAATCCGCATTAAAAGTTTTGCAGAACTTGTACATTCTCTGCTTACCCCTATGGAGCTTAAAAAGTTTTCAAGTACACCTCTACCCCGATATAACGCAAATTTGGATATAACATGGTAAAGCAGTGCTCCAGGGAGGCGGGGCTGCGCACTCCGGCGGATCAAAGCAAGTTCGATATAAGTTCACCTATAACGCGGTAAGATTTTTTGGCTCCCGAGGACAGCGTTATATCGAGGTAGAGGTGTATAGTCCATAGACTTTGAAGGCACACAGGTACAGCCTGTCCATTCCAGAAGCCTCAGCCACTTCCTGTGGTCATTTAAAGCTCTGTGCTTATCACTATGGTTTGCCACTCCAGTACTGTCTACAGAGTTTGCAAGGTTCACAGGCACATCATCCCTTTGAGGATTTTATACTAGTCTGTTTCCTAAAAGAAAGTCACCACTGTTATCTTTAGAGAGAGACTCTCCTTCTCTAGTAAAATGCATGTTAAATATTGTCAGTATTTTTAAAAGTTGGAAACCTAAATTAGCTTTGGTGGAAGGAAAACTAGACATTACTTGCTTTTGATGCAGCATCCACTCTTCCCCAAGAAGGCTTCCTCAGATCTCAAGCATTTGTGTGTTGCTCTAAGGGCTTCTATCTACCCCCTTCCTTTCTCAAAGAGAGAGAGAGAGAATGTGTATGTGTATTTAACAACAGTGATCCTGTTACCACAGTAACTGGATGCCCTGAAAATACCAACCAGTTATCTAGCAACATTTTTTAAATGGTGCAATCTTACCCAAAATCACCTTTCTTGGGCTGAACTTTTTAAATAAAATTGTAATAAGTATCTCTACATTCAACTCTTTTGCTTCAGAGCTATTAATCTGGCTTAGTTTGTATTGCCCCTAAGATGGAAACAAAAATAAAGAGATATTTCAAAATCTGAACATCAGCGAAAGAGAGTATTTTGTATACTGACAAACAGAAACCTTTCCCCAAAAAATCATTTAGAAAAGCCCTAATCTTATCTGGGAAATAATTCTCTTTACACTCATAAAATGATATTTTCGGATGGGAAAGGGGGGAATAGAATTTCCTAAGTGCAACGGCTGGGTGGGAGTCTGCCAAGCACAGCTGAGTTTGAACCAGCCACTTTAAAGCTCTTGTGTTCAAAAGCTTTTGTTTGGTAATCAGTTGCAGAGTGAAATGACAAAATAAATGTCTTTTCAACAAGCCATACAAAAAACACAAACTGTATCCGTGTACTGTGCCCATCTTGGACTGCACAAGTGCTACAATACAAACCAGAGTGAGCTTTTGCTGCCCATTTATCTGAGAGCTTTAATCTGTAGTTGCTGAGATAGCGGATTTCTCTCTCACTTTCTACCACATTATTCACATTTGCAACAAAATACTTATAAACATTTCAGAGCTCTTATATTTATGTGGATTTAGACCAAACTAAACAATTGTGTTTCAGGACCTGACTTTTAAACATTATGACTGGTTCTTCTTTAGTGGGCATTTTAAAAGATTTTTGTAAGCTGCTGTAACTAGCTCAACATCAATGCTAGTAGCAAATCCAAGGTACAACCAAGAGAAATCTGTTTCATAATTTTTTTCCCCTTTCAATGTTTTGGCCTGACATGGACATATCCTGCCAGAATATCTCCCCACAGTATAACCATTTTGTACACTATTTCATACGTCTCGTTAAACTACACCAACATTAACACGGGGTCAAATTCTTTCTGACCCCTAGTATCCCAGGTGACTGAATGGAACCCTACCCTAGACATCAGGAGAGTACGTGAAAAGTTAGGGCGTTCAGTATCTCCCCAGCAGGAATAATACTCAGCTCTGCTGATCTTTCCATCTCTTTCACTGAATCCAGATGCTGCAAGTTTCTCTGCTGTCTAAGGGCTTGTGTACACTGCCCCACAATTCAGACTACGGGGCCCTGAATAGGAGCACGCACCAAAGTACTAAGCTGTAATTCCCCCGCAAGGATACCGTGGGAACAAACTAAAAGGGTCCTAGTGCGCATTAATGTAGTGCTTTTCGAACAGAACTATGTTAATGCGAACTTTTAGATTGCACCTTCAGCATCCACACGGGGGAGTTACAGCGCAGCCCCGAACAGTGGGGCCGTATAGACAGAGTCTAAGTGTTTGAAAGATGGAAACGTGGACTAAAGCAAGAGAACTGAAATTGAGTCTGCATAAGGAGAAAGTCAGGTGGGTTGGGAGGAATTATTTGGAGGAATGCATGAGTGGTTATATCTCATCACTCAGTGCCATGGTCCCAGTGATGTCAGTTTAGTTGGCAGAAACACTTTAGTGGGAGATTCAGGGGCACAGAACTTCTCAGCAGGTGGCCCATGGTTCACAGCCTTGGGGTTCGCTGCAGCTTCTGGATCCATCAGGAGGCTCAGGGATGGCTGGCTGGGAGGTGGTGAATCCTTCTGTTCAATGTGCAACTGCCCACAGCGATCCACCTCCTCGTCATTTAGGCGCCAAATTTCGGAAATGCGCTCTCCTTAGGGTACCCTTGAAAAGCACCCTGGAGCTTCAGCAGAAACAGCAGCCTTCCTCCTCGGTGTGTCATTATGGGCATGGAGCAACAGAGGCATTATGGGCATATAACATCAGCGTCATGCACGCTGTACTAGCTACTGGTCCATTTCTTGGTATGATCTCAGGTGTTGGCTATCACCTAGCAGGGCCCAAAGCTGTACTCTTCAGGACCACAGGCAGCACATTCACAGACAAAAACCTGTGTATACTGAAGTGGAACGTTCTGGTGGCCCACTTGAGAGGGTGAGCTTTAGGGAAGGATACCAGGCTTATCTGCTGAATCAGGCTCCTTAATTGAGTTAGCTACTGAGCTAATAATGCTTGATGTCTTCAAACACTTTCGAAGTGCATATGTGCTATGGTCCGAGGTGCAAGCTAATAGAAATGCCATATATTTTAATTAAGGCTAGGTTTTTCAAAGAGACCTATGGGAGTTAGGCACCCAAAACTTACTGAAGTTCAACTCCTCTAGGCCCTCTGGAAAACCTCAGCCTAAGTCCTTAGATTGTTAAACACAATCCAGTTGGCTGAGACCTGGGCGTGTAACCTCAATTAGATTTGTAGTCTTGCCTTGTTAGCAATTTCATTGCTCTTTTAATCTATCATCCAGTCTCCAGCTGGCAACATCAGGGTGATATGGTATCTGTGAGATGCCCACAAAGTACAAGCAGTTTTAAAAGCTACTCATCTGTGAAATTTCAGCCCCTTCCCTCACTCCCAAAGGCATTCGTACTATTTTGTGCAAAGATAATTTGAAAAATGGACTTCCAACTTTGTGGGAAAACATCCCCCTCCCACATAACACAATTAAGATAAGCTGTGACCTACTGTCAATAGGCCTACGACTTACACTTACCCCTAGTCTTCAGGAACCTGACAGTAGAGATTATAGAGATTCAAAATGAGAGGGAGAAACTGCAGCTATCCCGATGCCCACTACTGAGTCAACAAACTGTGTGCTTAAACAGGGCCAACTTGGGTGATGTTAGGGGGAAATGCTAGACACAAGGTAGAAAAATAACCAGTACCTTCCGGCACTACATCCACTGTAATTTACTTCCACCCAAAGTGCAATAGGTCTCCCCACAAGCATCAATTCCAGTCAATATAATAAAATCGTTTGCACTATTTGCACCTGAGGATATACAAGAATGGGGAAGAGCCCCTAACCCTATGGTAACAGAAGGGGAGCACGGGGTACAAAGAGATGAATTTACCTGTCCCAGGCACGTAAGATACCGCAGTAATAGGTGCCGTATAAGAACTAGAAGCTCAATCTCCTGATTCGCAGTTACAAGTTTTTATCAACAGAATATACTGTCCTCCGTGTTCACACTCATACACTTCTTCTATTTATTCATATTTTGTGTGTACACCTAACGTATGCACATGTCCCTAATACGTATGCACATATATGCATACACTCTAAGCATGCATGCGGATACAAGCTCATCTCTCTGTTTCAAGCTCAGTATTTCTTTCCTTAAAAATTATACACCTGCTGCACAACACAAAGCATCCGTTTGGGGCCTACGTCAATGAAGAGGTAAAAAAAATGCACACCAAAGTAGCAACACATCAAAATATTATGAGGCCATGTTATTTAACATAATGCAATAGTTATGCAATGCAAGGGGGGGGGGAACATGACATTTACCTGACAAGAGATTTGCACAAGGTAGACCAGTTCCTTGGATTCACAGCCGTTCCTTGTTACTTCATTCTGTTCCTCCGGGAGTGAAAGCTACACCAAGGAGCAGGGAAGGGGGAGGGTAGGAGAGAAAGAGAGACAGAGACCAGGTCAGTGAGCAGGGATAAGCCAGGCATGTAATAATGCCTGAAGCACCACATTCACATCAACTTGCTCCGAGACATGCTGGGTATCAGGAACCAGGATTGTGCTTGTCTGACTGGAGTTGCAAGACTGAAAATATTCAGTATTCACCAGATATACAGACCTTGCAAAACACAATTTGATTTTGTATCTCAGCTGACAGGTTTTTAAATATACGGTGCACCAGTCAAACAATTGTCAGCAAGCACAGAGTGAGAGCCTAGGATTAAATCTCTAGAAGTCTGTAAAACTAAATGTCCGCTGGAAATATCCCCATAAATATTCATGCATCAGATACCACTGATCTTTTTTCTAACTACCCACTTTATTCTATTTTTATTTTATATGCTGGAGCAGGCATTAGATAATAAAATATGTTTCCAGATTTCAACATTATCAAGTAATTTACCACAACAGAGTGCTTTACAGCATCATTCATCAAATACAAAGATCCATTAAGCACAATATTACCAGGAGCTTTTTCAAAGCAGTGCGCAGAAATTTAACCATATCATTCCTGTTCATGTAACAGGAGGTGGAGTATCTAAATCTCAGGCCTTGTCCGCACTTGCTTTGCTGGTATAGCTCTACAAGTAAACCCTCCAAGTATTGATGCAGTTTATATGGGCAAAAAAGTCCTTCCTATACCAGTTCCCCAAGAAAAATAAGCTATATTGGTACAAGAACGTTATTTGCTGGTATAATGGGGTCTATACTAGAGCTTTTATCACCATAATTATATTGTCCCCTCCCCTGTAAAAATCACAACATAGCTATGCCAGCAAAATTCTTTTCCACTCTGAAAATTAACCCAAGGTTCTGACTTAACACCATGAAAGGAACTGGATTTGCATGGCACCACACTACATTCCATCTAATTTAACTCACCCAATCCTAAGTATGGCAAGGACTGTGGTCCCCCATCTGGGATCCTCAGGAACACTAGCCAAGGCCAATGTCTCCTGAGTGATGAGGTGGAGGAGATGCAATACTTAGGCTCCACACAGGAGCAAGCTATGGAGCAACCACCTTACCCGCCTGAATTCCCCATCCAGTAGTTTTAAATCAAAATCTTAGCGTTCTGGATTTTTGGTTTGGGTGAGGGTTTTTTTAGCCCTTATGAATCTCATAAGGGACATTTGCATGGACAAAGCTGGGAAGTGAGATGCTGAAGTTCTCTCCACTATTGGCTTCGCAGGCAGTTCCCAATCCACTGCTCTCTAAAACGTAAGCAGGAGGCTCCAACAGAAATAGCGTGTAGTAGTGCCATGCAGTATGAAAATGTCGTCAGCTGATCTGAGATGCTCTATCAGCTTCCCATGGCAAATGGACGGTCTCTCAGCTTCCTCATTATGGGCTGAATTCTGTTGCGACATGCGCTACCATGCAATTCCGAGTACAATCTGGCTGTACAGCACGGAATATGGCCTTATAATCTGATCTTCACTTAACATTCTCGCACTTCCAACCAACACTGCAATAAGCCCCTCTCTGCAGACATCTCTACTCAACCCTCTCCTCTTGACTCCATCAGTTCCCTTTGTGCTTATCTCCAAAGTCTGCTAGCCTGGGAGTTGGAAAATAACAAAAACCTTTGGTATTTAAACTCCTGATGAAATCAATAAGAGCTTGTGATTGAAAATCAAAGAACTTCTCACTGGAAACTCTTAATAGGAATAATGAAAAAGAAAGAAAATCATAAGATGCATGTTTGGTAATTAATTTTTACGTATAAACATTCAGCCTGAAAACACTATGCACCTACACCAAGATACACCCCGATATAACGCGACCCGATGTAACACGAATTCGGATGTAACGTGATAAAGCAGCGCTCCGGGGAGGGCGGGGCTACGTGCTCCGGCGGATCAAAGCAAGTTCAATATAATGCAGTTTCACCTATAACGCGATAAGATTTTTTTGGCTCCCGAGGACAGTGTTATATCGGGGTAGAGGTGTACTGTGAACGTTTTCCTTCAAGAATGTTATACGGTGGGCAAGCATTTTACCCTATTTGCCTATTTTACAGATGGGAACACTGAGGCAAGGAATGTATCCAGTGTCATACAGTGAGTCATCAGCAGACCCAGGAATAGAACCTTAGGAGGTTTACATAGACCAATAGACCAGCTTGCTCCAAATATCTCCTGCGCATTTGTCCAAATTAGTCACTGCCAATAAGAGGTCATTTTTAAATCTTAATGAAAGCTGGGGGGAGGGGGGGAGAAATAGCAGTATATTTTACTGGTTTTGATATCCCTTAATAAAGATGGCTTAAATATTTTTTGAGAAAATAAAAGTTTAAAATTGTACCCAAACAATTTAAGACTATCCACAGTTGCAGGCCAATTACTTGAGACATCCAAAATATACCCCTTGAAAAATATGGTTTATAAAAGAATCACAGAGCTTCAGAAAAACCAGTATTACCTCCTCTGAAAGGGGCATTGAACCTAATGAAATAGCTCATCCTCTCACACACACGCTTTCCAGGAAGAGAGCATAGGGTGGTAATTAAGTTGAACAGTGGAGGCATTAGTTACACTTGCCAGAAGAATTATTTGCTTCCTCTTTCAAGCAAAAATAAATTCAGCTTTAAAAAAAAATTAACGAATGGCTTGAAGAAAAAAATCTTTAAAATGAACTTTGCTTGCTGGGAAATTTGCACATAATTGATCCATCTATAATACTTCAAAATTAGTCAGGAGCAAAACTAATCCAGGCAAAAACTGAAAGAGACAAGAGTGAAAGAGAAGATCAAGCAAACGAGTGGCCTATCAGTTCACAGCAGCAGATGAAGTCTTGGTTCTCTCCATCACCAAGCTCCCTTTGCATCTTTAGATAAGGCAGCCGCAGAACATATTAAACAAAATCCACAAAATGGGCCAAGAAATTAAACAAATACTACATCTTCCTTGACGAGACATAAAGTCCTGAATTTTTACTACTCTTCTGTTGGCTACGTACATTATAGTAGGCAACAAAAAGGTGTCTTGGGCCAAGAAACACCTTAGGCTTTGGACCATTTATTTTATATGCAAGGTATTAAATACAGAGTTCATCTCACATGTGTCCCTTGCATAGGGCAAATTTTCTGCTGCTCTTAAGCAGTCTAGTCTGTTTAGCAAATGAAAAGTTTCCATTAAGGGATTATTTGTATCAGAAACCAAGAGGGCCCCCCCCCCAGTATTTGTGCCTGACCGATGGGGTGAATAGACAATTTAGGAAAACAACCTGCCTAAAATGAGGGACATCTAAAAGATCTCGCATTGCAGCTGCTCTTCCTTCACATCAAGGCTAAGAATCTTCGGAGAGTTCCTGAAGGTGAAGACAATTCTGCTCTTGGTGACAACTCCATCCTCATTTGTCTCACTTCCTTTGCTCTCCAACCCTCGCTCCTAAAAAATGCTTTGAGTTTCTCCCCCTCTCTCAGACTCACACCCTCTTCCCTGCTACTGCTTAATACTTGGACTAATCTCCCTCCTGTCCTCTAGACAACCTCCAGCTATAAATCCTCCTGCAAAGCACACTTTTCCTTCCAGCAGGATAGATGGAACCGTAAAACTTCAAGAGTATTCAAACGGTTCTGTTCCTGTCTGAAAGAGGTTGTTCAGCACTGGATATGCCCAGCTGCCTGTTAATATGATTGAATATCACGATAAAGTTATTTAGTTCTGCATTTGTGCCCAGGTTTTTCCCCCACTAACATTTTATTTTGCAGCCAAAATTTAACATTTGAAGTACTGCAACATACAGAGTACACCTGAATGGTAACAGCAAAAACAAAAACAAAAACACACAATTAAGGGAAAACTAAAGAGTTTGAAATACTTTCCACATTTGTAAAATACTTGGGTGCTCCAGTCCGGTTAAAAAAGTGGGTTTCTTTTTCTTGGAGAAATTCCCCCCTCCCCCATTCTTTGGTCCACATTTAAGTGTGATGAGAAAGGAGGTGCAAATTAGTCTTGCTTAGACACACATACACTCATTCTGCCAAAGTATAAGGGAAGCTCAGGCCTTGCCTACATCAAGAAAGTAGATACTAAGCTATATCAGTATAAGCTCCACCTTGAGGGGTTTGCGCCAGTGTAACTATTGGTGCAGTTACATCAGTGTCCATATTCTGAATGTAGATAAGACCTCACTTGGTGCGTCTTCCTGCCCCCTGGTAAGTCAAATTAAGTTGGGGATTACTTTAGGTTACCTTTTCTTTCTGCTCCTAAGAGTGTAAGTTACAACCATTTAGACTGCCATACACTGGCACCTGCAGAGTAAGGTGGGTGGGAGTCACAGGGGAAAATGTATCTAACTCACAGCTCCCTTTTCCGTCACCTCTGAATTTGGCCCTTTATCTACTGAACTTCTCTTCCGGTCTATTAATTAAGGGCTTGCTGAATTGCTGATGCCCCTGTAGTAAACAGGCGAGGGATTATCTAAGAACACTTTGTTTAGCAATAGTATCCAGCCTCCAAGGAGAGCAAGCATGTCATCTAGATACCATTCCTAGTGCCATTAGAACAATGAGCCAGTGTTGAGGTCTCTGAAAACAAGCTACCCAGCTGTTTTTATATGTTCTGTGGTAATAGAGCAAAGTATGCTCAAAATATTGCATTAGGCTGCATACTGTTAGCAACTAGCAGATTATTTCTGCTCTTTAATATCTGATATGACATGATGTGACATGACGGGTCATTCCCTAATAATTTTCTTTCTAATTGTGTCTCTAATGAGAAGTGAAATTTTAAATGTACCATATTCCCTTGCATATAGGCGAACTCCCTAATTTTGGTTTATAAAAACTCACAAAATGAATGCCTGGCATAGGAACTAGCCATGCTCCTCTCTGTGCAGCCAATCCCGCATCCCTAGGTAAAAGAAAAGGAGTTGGAGTTGCAGAAGAACCTGTTGAA